TATATATATATGTCGTACCTAGTAGCCAGAACGAACTTCTCAGCCTACTATGCAAGGCCCAATTTGCCTAATAAGTCAAGTTTTTAAGAATTAATTGTTTTTCGACTACCTAACCTACCTAACCTAACCTAACTTTTTCGGCTACCTAACCTAACCTAACCTATAAAGATAGGTTAGGTAGGGTTGGTTAGGTTCGGTCATATATCTACGTTAATTTTAACTCCAATAAAAAAAATTGACCTCATACATAATGAAATAGGTAGCTTTATCATTTCATAAGAAAAAAATTAGAGAAAATATATTAATTCAGGAAAACGTGGCTTATTAGGCAAATCGGGCCTTGCATAGTAGGCCGAGAAGTGCATTCTGGCTACTAGGTACGACATACATATATATATATATATGTCGTACCTAGTAGCCAGAACTCACTTTTTGGCCTACTATTCAAGGCCCGATTTGCCTAATAAGCCAAGTTTTCCTGAATTAATATATTTTTTCTAATTTTTTTCTTATGAAATGATAAAGCTACCCATTTCATTATGTATGAGGTCAATTTTTTTTTATTGTAGTTAAAATTAACGTAGATATATGACCGAACCTAACCAACCCTACCTAACCTAACCTAACCTATCTTCATAGGTTAGGTTGGGTTAGGTTGCCGAAAAAGGTAGGTTAGGTTAGGTTAGGTAGGTTAGGTAGTCTAAAAAACATTAATTCATGAAAACTTGGCTTATTAGGCAAATCGGGCCTTGCATAGTAGGCTGAGAAGTGCGTTCTGGCTATTAGGTACGACATATATATATATATATATATATATGTATATATATATATCTATATATATATATATATATGTGTCGTACCTAGTAGCCAGAACGCACTTCTAAGCCTACTATGTAAGGCCCGATTTGCCTAATAAGCCAAGTTTTCCTGAATTAATATATTTTCACTAATTATTTTCTTATGAAATGATAAAGCTACCCATTTCATTATGTATGAGGTCAATTTTTTTTATTGGAGTTAAAATTAACGTAGATATATGACCAAACCTAACGAACCCTACCTAACCTAACCTAACCTATCTTTATAGGTTAGGTTAGGTTAGGTAGCCGAAAAAGTTAGGTTAGGTTAGGTTAGGTAGGTTAGGTAGCCGAAAAACAAATAATTCATGAAAACTTGGCTTATTAGGCAAATCGGGCCTTGCATAGTATTCCAAAAGGGCGTTCTGGCTACTAGGTACGACATATATATATATATATATATATATATATATATATATATATATATATATATATATATATATATATATATATATATATATATATATATATATATATATATATATATAGATGAATAGGAAAACCAGGGATATACTGAACATCTTCTATCAGAATCTTTACTTTAAAAAACATAACGTTTCGAATACTTCTCGTATTCATCATCAGATTTAAAAGAAAAAACAGAAATCACAATCAAATAGCTGGTAAACAAAGAACTCATACTGAATATAATTGCCTATCAAAGAAAGGAAAATGCTTAAAAAACAAAACACTTAAGCGCACTTAAAGTGATCAATACAAATAAAACTTATTAACTGTCACATATATTAAAACTAATTTAAAATCCATTAAACTACAAGATGAACTACATGACACTCTACTGAATAGGGCCTTTGTTTTATGTTCTAATTGGAATAACTTTGATCAGGAAATTAATTTTCTTGTGATTTTTTTTTCAAATAATGGTTATCCTGTGCATATTGTTTATACTTTTATAAGGAATTTCTTAAATAAGAAGTTTCACCCATCGTGTAGGATTACTACAGTGGAAAGGGATCTTAAATATATTAAATTAGCATTTTATGGCAGTATTAGCTTTTCTGTAAGGTGTCGTTTGAGGAGACTGTTGCAGCAGTGTTATCCTCAAGTAGACTTTAGATTTATTTTTGTCAACACAAATACCATAGGCTCTTATTTTAAATTTAAAGATAAAGTGCCTACCCCCATGTGCTCAAATGTCGTATATATGTATAATTGTTCCAGCTGTAATGCTGGATATGTCGGGAGTTCCATTCGGAACTTTAAGATTAGGATACTTGAGCACCGGGGATTATCTTTTAGGACTGGATTACCATTGTCTAAACCAGCATTTTCGGAGATTAGAAACCATTGTTATGAGTTTGATCATTCTCTGCTGGAATCTGATTTTAAAATTCTGGACACTTGTATGAATGGCCAGTCAGATTTGAGAGTAATGGAATCCTTATATATAAAGGAGCTGCGGCCTCTGTTAAATAGCAACCTTTCAGCTGTTCAATTGTACACTGTATAGTGCACAGTAGGCCCTGTAATTTGATTTTTAGTTTATTTTGGTAGTTTAATTTTGTTTAGTTTGCCATGTCTTTGCCCTTTCTTACTTATTTCAAGTCCTAACATTGTACATTAATATAAACTTTTATTTAGGATATATAATACATTTTTTGGTATTTAATTTTATTTAATATTTGAGTTTTTTATAAGATTTTGGTTAGTACTTTATAATTGTCGTTTATTCTGTTTGTCTTTTACATACATTTTTTGTAGATTTGTAATCATTATATAAATATTTGTTATAGTGTTTAGTATCTCTGTGTTAGGTATCAAGTTTCACTTCTGATCACTTCACGTAAGTTTAATGGAATGGTTTGTTTTAGTAGTTATTAATTTCATCTTGTAGTTCAATGGATTTTAAATTAGTTTTAATATATGTGACAGTTAATAAGTTTTATTTGTATTGATCACTTTAAGTGCGCTTAAGTGTTTTGTTTTTTAAGCATTTTCCTTTCTTTGATAGGCAATTATATTCAGTATGAGTTCTTTGTTTACCAGCTATTTGATTGTGATTTCTGTTTTTTCTTTTAGATCTGATGATGAATACGAGAAGTATTCGAAACGTTATGTTTTTTAAAGTAAAGATTCTGATAGAAGATGTTCAGTATATCCCTGGTTTTCCTATTCATCTTAAAATTAAGATTCCCGAAGGGAACATCGATCACAAATATTTTATATATATATATATATATATATATATATATATATATATATATATATATATATATATATATATATATATATATATATATATATATTATTAAATATGACCGAAAAAGTAAGATTAATAATTCTAACACGAATTTTCTCGATCTTGCTTACGTTTCTTTTCAATGTTGATGGTAATTCAAAGATCAATTCTCCAAAATTCATTTTTATTTCTAGTCTGACGCGACACTTGAGCGCGTTTCGTAAAACTTATCACATTTTCAAAGACTTTAGTTTACAAACACACAACTGAAACTGAATAGAGCTTACACATCTTCGATTTTATATCTACATTTGGGTGAGGTGGATGAGGTGAAAACAAACTTTCAACAATGGGTATTAAATTCAAACACAACACAGAACACGAAACAATGGGTATTGAATGGAAGTAATTGTAGAAAGCCTATTGGTCCATATTTCTTGATGCTTCTATATTGGAGAGGAGTCTTGAAGTGGGTAGAATATAGTTGTACATTAATTTGCTGTTGATTGCTGGTGTTGACTTCTTGATGTGTAGTGCCTCGCAGGCGTCGAGCCGCCTGCTATCGCTGTATCTATCGATGATTTCTGTGTTGTTTGCTAAGATTTCTCTGGTGATGGTTTGGTTGTGGGAAGAGGCTATATGTTCCTTAATGGAGCCCTGTTGCTTATGCATCGTTAAACGCCTGGAAAGAGATGTTGTTGTCTTGCCTGTATACTGAGTTTTTTGAGGTTTACAATCCCCAAGAAGGCATTTGAAGGCATAGACGATGTTGGTCTCTTTTAAAACGTTCTGCTTTGTTTCTGGAGAGTTTCTTATAAGTAGGCTGGCCGTTTTTTTGGTTTTATAGTAAATTGTCAGTTGTATCTTCTGATTTTTGTCTGTAGGGATAACGTTTCTACTGACAATATCTTTCAGGACCATTTCCTCCGTTTTATGGGCTGTGGAAAAGAAGTTCCTGTAAAATAGTCTAATAGGGGGTATAGGTGTTGTGTTAGTTGTCTCTTCAGAGGTTGCATGGCGTTTCACTTTCCTTCTTATGATGTCTTCCACGAAACCATTGGAGAAGCCGTTGTTGACTAGGACCTGCCGTACCCTACAGAGTTCTTCGTTGACTTGCTTCCATTCTGAGCTGTGGCTGAGGGCACGGTCGACATAAGCGTTAACAACACTTCTCTTGTACCTGTCCGGTACAAGATACAGAGGGGAAATGCGCACTGCATCCAAGGTTCCTGCCCGCCATCTGAGGAGCTGGAGGAACTCGACAACCTATGATAACCATCTTTGTAACCCATATGTAACTCCTTTTTTGTAACAAAGTTCATTAAAGTAAATATATGTGTACATACAAAAGAATGTTGGTGGTAGGAGAAGATAATATTAGTGTTCAGTGAGAAACCACAAGGTCTCCTCTGAATACTTTTTATTTTCTTCTCCGAGGCTATGGGTCCCCACATTGGCACCAGAGGTGGTACCCTCACAAACTTATATAATATATATATATATATATCTATATATATATCTATATATATATATTTATATATATCTATATATATATATCTATATATATATATATAGATATATAGATATATATATATATATATATATATATATATATATATATATATATATATATATATATATAAAAGGTGCCAATGTGGGGACCCATAGCCTCGGAGAAGAAAATAAAAAGTATTCAGAGGAGACCTTGTGGTTTCTCACTGAAATATATATATAATCTATAATATATGTGTGTGTATATATAATATTGGGCCATGAAATGTTAATTCAGGATATTTTTCAAGGTACAATTTAATGATCAAGTCACTTGTATACATTTGACTATAGAGATTGAATCTGACTAATGCATGCATTATAATAAGAGCCAGATCACAATGATCATGTTAAAGACACAGTGGGAAGTAACACACCTCAACCCCCAACAGGACGGTGCGACTTCTACTCCTCGAGGGAGAGGTTCCTGCCCATGGTGTTGTCTATGATCGGCCAGAGAGACAGTCCCCTCGTTCCTGCCATTAGTAAGAGGTGGGTACTGAAGGCTATTTACATTAACAACAAGATTTAATGAGAGAGAAACACATGATATTGTAACTGAGGAGCTGTTTGTAAAGCGATAGGTATAATGTGTTTTGGGGATATATGCAGGGCTCAAGATGAACTCTGACTATGGAAAACTCAAAGCCTGCTAGTAATAGTCAGGAGACATGTGCAAAATATATCCGCATGTATCGAAAATAAGTTACGAAAACAAAACATTCCCTATATGAAAACACAATACTAAAAAACACAAACAAACGGAAAAAATACACCACAATGTAATATACCCATAATGAATATATCAGAACATAACATACCCATAATGAATATATCACAACATAACATACACTGGTGCTAGAGGTCACCAGTCAACACTGGTGCTAGTGGTCACACTGGTGCTAGTGGTCACACTGGTCACACTGGTGCTAGTGGTCACACTGGTGCTAGTGGTCACAGAGGTGCTAGTGGTCACACTGGTGCTAGTGGTCACACTGGTCACACTGGTGCTAGTGGTCACACTGGTGCTAGTGGTCACACTGGTGCTAGTGGTCACACTGGTGCTAGTGGTCAGTCACACTGGTGCTAGTGGTCACACTGGTGCTAGTGGTCACACTGGTGTTAGTGGTCACACTGGTGCTAGTGGTCACCTAGTGGTCACACTGGTGCTAGTGGTCACACTGGTGCTAGTGGTCACACTGGTGCTACTGGTCACCAGTCACACTGGTGCTAGTGGTCACACTGGTGCTAGTGGTCACACTGGTGCTAGTGGTCACACTGGTGCTAGGTCACCAGTCACACTGGTGCTAGTGGTCACACTGGTGCTAGTGGTCACACTGGTGCTAGTGGTCACACTGGTGCTAGTGGTCACACTGGTGCTAGTGATCACACTCACCAGTCAACACTGGTGCTAGTGGTCACACTGGTGCTAGGTCACCAGTCACACTGGTGCTAGGTGGTCACACTGGTGCTAGTGGTCACACTGGTGCTAGTGGTCACACTGGTCACCAGTCAACACTGGTGCTAGTGGTCACACTGGTGCTAGTGGTCACACTGGTGCTAGTGGTCACACTGGTGCTAGTGGTCACACTGGTGCTAGTGGTCACACTGGTGCAGTGGTCACACTGGTGCTAGTGGTCACACAGTGCTAGTGGTCACACTGGTGCTAGTGGTCAACACTGGTGCTAGGTCACCAGTCACACTGGTGCTAGTGGTCACACTGGTGCTAGTCACACTGGTGCTAGTGGTCACACTGGTGCTAGTGGTCACACTGGTGCTAGTGGTCACACTGGTGCTAGTGGTCACACTGGTGCTAGTGGTCACACTGGTGCTAGTGGTCACACTGGTGCTAGTGGTCACACTGGTGCTAGTGGTCACAGTCAACACTGGTGCTACTGGTCACCAGTCACACTGGTGCTAGTGGTCACACTGGTGCTAGTGGTCACACTGGTGCTAGTGGTCACACTGGTGCTAGGGGTCACCAGTCAACACTGGTGCTAGTGGTCACACTGGTGCTAGTGGTCACACTGGTGCTAGTGGTCACACTGGTGCTAGTGGTCACCAGTCAGTGGTCACACTGGTGCTAGTGGTCACCAGTCAACACTGGTGCTAGTGTCACCAGTCACACTGGTGGGGTAGTGGTCACACTGGTGCTAGTGGTCACCAGTCAACACTGGTCACACTGGTGGTAGTGGTCACACTGGTGCTAGGGGTCACCAGTCACACTGGTGCTAGTGGTCACAGTCAACACTGGTGCTAGTGGTCACACTGGTGCAACACTCACACTGGTGGTCACCAGTCACACTGGTGCTAGTGGTCACCTGGTCAACACTGGTGCTAGTCACCAGTCACACTGGTGCTAGTGGTCACCAGTCAACACTGGTGCTAGTGGTCACCAGTCAACACTGGTGCTAGTGGTCAACACTGGTGCTAGTGGTCACACTGGTGCTAGTGGTCACACTGGTGCTAGGGGTGGTCAACACTGGTGCTAGTGGTCACCAGTCAACACTGGTGCTAGTGGTCACACTACTGGTGGGGTCAGTGGTCACACTGGTGCTAGGGGTCACCAGTCACACTGGTGCTAGTGGTCACACAGGTGCTAGTGGTCACACTGGTCACCAGTGGTCACACTGGTGCTAGGGGTCACCAGTCACACTGGTGCTAGTGGTCACTGGTCAACACTGGTCACACTGGTGTCACCAGTCAACACTGGTGCTAGTGGTCACCAGTCAACACTGGTCACACTGGTCACCAGTCAACACTGGTGCTAGGGGTCACCAGTCAACACTGGTGCTAGGGGTCACCAGTCAACACTGGTGCTAGGGGTCACCAGTCAACACTGGTGCTAGTGGTCACCAGTCAACACTGGTGCTAGGGGTCACCAGTCAACACTGGTGCTAGGGGTCACACTGGTGCTAGGGGTCACCAGTCAACACTGGTGCTAGGGGTCACCAGTCAACACTGGTGCTAGGGGTCACCAGTCAACACTGGTCCTAGGGGTCACCAGTCAACACTGGTCCTAGGGGTCACCAGTCAACACTGGTCCTAGGGGTCACCAGTCAACACTGGTCCTAGAGGTCACCAGTCAACACTGGTCCTAGAGGTCACCAGTCAACACTGGTCCTAGAGGTCACCAGTCAACACTGGTCCTAGAGGTCACCAGTCAACACTGGTCCTAGAGGTCACCAGTCAACACTGGTCCTAGAGGTCACCAGTCAACACTGGTCCTAGAGGTCACCAGTCAACACTGGTCCTAGAGGTCACCAGTCAACACTGGTCCTAGAGGTCACCAGTCAACACTGGTCCTAGAGGTCACCAGTCAACACTGGTCCTAGAGGTCACCAGTCAACACTGGTCCTAGAGGTCACCAGTCAACACTGGTCCTAGAGGTCACCAGTCAACACTGGTCCTAGAGGTCACCAGTCAACACTGGTCCTAGAGGTCACCAGTCAACACTGGTCCTAGAGGTCACCAGTCAACACTGGTCCTAGAGGTCACCAGTCAACACTGGTCCTAGAGGTCACCAGTCAACACTGGTCCTAGAGGTCACCAGTCAACACTGGTCCTAGAGGTCACCAGTCAACACTGGTCCTAGAGGTCACCAGTCAACACTGGTCCTAGAGGTCACCAGTCAACACTGGTCCTAGAGGTCACCAGTCAACACTGGTCCTAGAGGTCACCAGTCAACACTGGTCCTAGAGGTCACCAGTCAACACTGGTCCTAGAGGTCACCAGTCAACACTGGTCCTAGAGGTCACCAGTCAACACTGGTCCTAGAGGTCACCAGTCAACACTGGTCCTAGAGGTCACCAGTCAACACTGGTCCTAGAGGTCACCAGTCAACACTGGTCCTAGAGGTCACCAGTCAACACTGGTCCTAGAGGTCACCAGTCAACACTGGTCCTAGAGGTCACCAGTCAACACTGGTCCTAGAGGTCACCAGTCAACACTGGTCCTAGAGGTCACCAGTCAACACTGGTCCTAGAGGTCACCAGTCAACACTGGTCCTAGAGGTCACCAGTCAACACTGGTCCTAGAGGTCACCAGTCAACACTGGTCCTAGAGGTCACCAGTCAACACTGGTCCTAGAGGTCACCAGTCAACACTGGTCCTAGAGGTCACCAGTCAACACTGGTCCTAGAGGTCACCAGTCAACACTGGTCCTAGAGGTCACCAGTCAACACTGGTCCTAGAGGTCACCAGTCAACACTGGTCCTAGAGGTCACCAGTCAACACTGGTCCTAGAGGTCACCAGTCAACACTGGTCCTAGAGGTCACCAGTCAACACTGGTCCTAGAGGTCACCAGTCAACACTGGTCCTAGAGGTCACCAGTCAACACTGGTCCTAGAGGTCACCAGTCAACACTGGTCCTAGAGGTCACCAGTCAACACTGGTCCTAGAGGTCACCAGTCAACACTGGTCCTAGAGGTCACCAGTCAACACTGGTCCTAGAGGTCACCAGTCAACACTGGTCCTAGAGGTCACCAGTCAACACTGGTCCTAGAGGTCACCAGTCAACACTGGTCCTAGAGGTCACCAGTCAACACTGGTCCTAGAGGTCACCAGTCAACACTGGTCCTAGAGGTCACCAGTCAACACTGGTCCTAGAGGTCACCAGTCAACACTGGTCCTAGAGGTCACCAGTCAACACTGGTCCTAGAGGTCACCAGTCAACACTGGTCCTAGAGGTCACCAGTCAACACTGGTCCTAGAGGTCACCAGTCAACACTGGTCCTAGAGGTCACCAGTCAACACTGGTCCTAGAGGTCACCAGTCAACACTGGTCCTAGAGGTCACCAGTCAACACTGGTCCTAGAGGTCACCAGTCAACACTGGTCCTAGAGGTCACCAGTCAACACTGGTCCTAGAGGTCACCAGTCAACACTGGTCCTAGAGGTCACCAGTCAACACTGGTCCTAGAGGTCACCAGTCAACACTGGTCCTAGAGGTCACCAGTCAACACTGGTCCTAGAGGTCACCAGTCAACACTGGTCCTAGAGGTCACCAGTCAACACTGGTCCTAGAGGTCACCAGTCAACACTGGTCCTAGAGGTCACCAGTCAACACTGGTCCTAGAGGTCACCAGTCAACACTGGTCCTAGAGGTCACCAGTCAACACTGGTCCTAGAGGTCACCAGTCAACACTGGTCCTAGAGGTCACCAGTCAACACTGGTCCTAGAGGTCACCAGTCAACACTGGTCCTAGAGGTCACCAGTCAACACTGGTCCTAGAGGTCACCAATCAACACTGGTGCTCGAGGTCATCAGTTAATACTGTTTCCAAAGGTCGTCTTTGCCTACAAGTCATCACTCGATGATTTGTCCGAGGTCACAATTGAGTGTTTTGACCTGTGTTTATCAGTTACCTCTTTGTCTCGGGGCATCAGTCAGTTTTTCCATTGAAATCATAAATTATTGATATAATTCCACGCACTGCCAACTAATATATTTTTTGGCATAATTCAAATTTGCTTCGGCGTAATGTTGTTGTTTGTTTAATAAATCAATTGCTTCTGCTTTTAACGAAAATTTCGGAGAATATTCAAATAAAAATCTCAATAACAAAATGAGTTTTAATACCTCACTTTAAATACAGAACGACAGAAAAAGAGCATAAAAACAATGTTTTAATTTGTTTTGTTTATATACAAATAGAAGATAAACTCCTTTTTTAAGAATTGAACTCTAAAACTACATCAGCTTAGGATGTTAGATTGTCATTATTCTCCCACATAAAATATGTAAAAAAAAATTAAAATATTTTTAAAATATATATAACACTGTCATAAATATGTAAATATGAAACATATGTAAAAGTATGTCAAACTCTTACTGCACCTCCAAAAACCAACAAGCCTGGAGCCTCCAGATTTTATGGCACTTCCTCAAAAAAAAAAGTCAGGCATTATAACTAAGCAGCAATTCTTAAGGACTATACCTAATTGAAAGAAAGAAGGGGCTATCACAGTACTTGCTGCTATATATATATCTATATGTCGCTATATAGTTGCTGTTATATATGTCTCCACACAAATCTACATAAAATCGAGGCATGTGTACCATAGAAGCGACAGAGTAACTACATCTATTGTGGTCAAAGCTACATCAGTTGCCAGCAGGAATAAGTCTACACTCATAATTACTGACGACTTTCAATTTCTATTTGGAAATAGAAATTGAAAGAACATGGAACCCTAAGGAGGCGTGAATGCAATGCATCAATGCAAAATTAATAGAAGTAACAACAAAAATGTCCTTGCCTTAATTACCTTAATATTTATTTTGTTTGCGTAGGACTAAAGGGGAAGCCAAGTCAGAAGTCAGACTCAAAATATGCAATCACTGAACTTTAGCGTTTGATCATCTTCAGCAGGATGGGACGCAATGTTCCGGGGCAAACACCTAGAGGCGGAAAGTCAGCGCGTCAAAAGTCAAGTGATGGGGAAATGGGGCACTTGCTGTCAATGTTAGAATGGGAAAATTAATTACTTATTCATCAAGAAAAGCTCCCAAGTCTTGATAAACGTCACAGTAAGTTTGACTTGAAAATGTACTATTGCGTCAAAAAGCTCGCAATAGAACTTGCTAAAAAGGTGGAAAATGAAAGACATATAACAAACCAAAGGTTTTTACCAATGGTGTAGAGAGGAAGTACATAATAAAGTAGTGATGGGAAGACAACAGCAGTGAACAGCAGAGAGACTCTCGACTCAGCCGCTTTGGTTGACAGTCATTCTGCTACTGTGTCAGTCACCAGTGCAACATGTGACAGTCATCCTGCTACTGTGTCATTCACCAGTGCAACATGTGACAGTCTCCAGTGCAACATGTGTCAGTCACCAGTGCAACATGTGACAGTCACCAGTGCAACATGTGACAGTCACCAGTGAAACATGTGACAGTCACCAGTGCAACATGTGTCAGTCACCAGTGCAACATGTGACAGTCACCAGTAGTAACATGTGTCAGTCACCAGTGCAACATGTGACAGTCACCAGTGCAACATGTGTCAGTCACCAGTGCAACATGTGACAGTCACCAGTGCAACATGTGTCAGTCACCAGTGCAACATGTGACAGTCACCAGTAGTAACATGTAACAGTCACCAGTGCAACATGTGACAGTCACCAGTGCAACATGTGACAATCACCAGTGCAACATGTGACAATCACCAGTGCAACATGTGTCAGTCACCAGTGCAACATGTGACAGTCACCAGAGCAACATGTGACAGTCACCAGTGCAACATGTGTCAGTCACCAGTGCAACATGTGACAGTCACCAGTGCAACATGTGACAATCACCAGTGCAACATGTGACAATCACCAGTGCAACATGTGTCAGTCACCAGTGCAACATGTGACAGTCACCAGAGCAACATGTGACAGTCACGAGTGCAACATGTACAGTCACCAGTGCAACATGTAACAGTCACCAGTGCAACATGTGACAGTCACCAGAGCAACATGTGACAATCACCAGTGCAACATGTGACAGTCACCAGGGCAACATGTGACAGTCATCCTGCTACTGTGTCATTCACCAGTGCAACATGTGACAGTCTCCAGTGCAACATGTGTCAGTCACCAGTGCAACATGTGACAGTCACCAGTGCAACATGTGACAGTCACCAGTGCAACATGTGACAGTCACCAGTGCAACATGTGACAGTCACCAGTGCAACATGTGACAGTCACCAGTGCAACATGTGTCAGTCACCAGTGCAACATGTGACAGTCACCAGTGCAACATGTGACAGTCACCAGTGCAACATGTGACAGTCACCAGTGCAACATGTGTCAGTCACCAGTGCAACATGTGACAGTCACCAGTGCAACATGTGTCAGTCACCAGTGCAACATGTGACAGTCACCAGTAGTAACATGTAACAGTCACCAGTGCAACATGTGACAGTCACCAGTGCAACATGTGACAATCACCAGTGCAACATGTGACAATCACCAGTGCAACATGTGTCAGTCACCAGTGCAACATGTGACAGTCACCAGAGCAACATGTGACAGTCACCAGTGCAACATGTGTCAGTCACCAGTGCAACATGTGACAGTCACCAGTGCAACATGTGACAATCACCAGTGCAACATGTGACAATCACCAGTGCAACATGTGTCAGTCACCAGTGCAACATGTGACAGTCACCAGAGCAACATGTGACAGTCACGAGTGCAACATGTGACAGTCACCAGTGCAACATGTAACAGTCACCAGTGCAACATGTGACAGTCACCAGAGCAACATGTGACAATCACCAGTGCAACATGTGACAGTCACCAGGGCAACATGTGACAGTCACCAGTGCAACATGTGACAGTCACCAGAGCAACATGTGACAGTCACCAGTGCAACATGTGACAGTCACCAGAGCAACATGTGACAGTCACCAGTGCAACATGTGACAGTCACCAGGGCAACATGTGACAATCACCAGTGCAACATGTGACAGTCACCAGAGCAACATGTGACAATCACCAGTGCAACATGTGACAATCACCAGTGCAACATGTGACAGTCACCAGTGCAACATGTGACAATCACCAGTGCAACATGTGACAGTCACCAGTAGTAACATGTCACAGTCACCAGTGCAACATGTGACAGTCACCAGGGCAACATGTGACAGTCACCAGAGCAACATGTGACAATCACCAGTGCAACATGTGACAGTCACCAGAGCAACATGTGACAATCACCAGAGCAACATGTGGCAGTCTCCAGTGCAACATGTGACAGTCACCAGAGCAACATGTGACAGTCACCAGAGCAACATGTAACAGTCACCAGTGCAACATGTGACAGTCACCAGTGCAACATGTGACAGTCACCAGAGCAACATGTAACAGTCACCAGTGCAACATGTGACAGTCACCAGTGCAACATGTGACAGTCACCAGGGCAACATGTGACAATCACCAGTGCAACATGTGACAGTCTCCAGAGCAACATGTGACAATCACCAGTGCAACATGTGACAATCACCAGTGCAACATGTGACAGTCACCAGTGCAACATGTGACAATCACCAGTGCAACATGTGACAGTCACCAGTAGTAACATGTCACAGTCACCAGTGCAACATGTGACAGTCACCAGGGCAACATGTGACAGTCACCAGAGCAACATGTGACAATCACCAGTGCAACATGTGACAGTCACCAGAGCAACATGTGACAATCACCAGAGCAACATGTGACAGTCACCAGTGCAACATGTGACAGTCACCAGAGCAACATGTGACAGTCACCAGAGCAACATGTAACAGTCACCAGTGCAACATGTGACAATCACCAGTGCAACATGTGACAGTCACCAGAGCAACATGTGACAGTCACCAGAGCAACATGTAACAGTCACCAGTGCAACATGTGACAATCACCAGTGCAACATGTGACAGTCACCAGTAGTAACATGTGACAGTCACCAGTAGTAACATGTGACAGTCACCAGTAGCAACATGTGACAGTCACCAGTAGCAACATGTGTCAGTCACCAGTGCAACATGTGACAGTCACCAGAGCAACATGTGACAGTCACCAGAGCAACATGTGACAGTCACCAGAGCAACATGTGACAGTCACCAGTGCAACATGTGACAGTCACCAGAGCAACATGTAACAGTCACCAGTGCAACATGTGACAGTCACCAGTGCAACATGTGACAGTCACCAGAGCAACATGTAACAGTCACCAGTGCAACATGTGACAGTCATTCATTCACTCGGAAAATGACACTCGACAACCATTTTTCACTCGGGAAAAATCATTCCCGAGTCACAGAGATTATCATTCACAGACAAGCTACCAGTGATATATGCGGACTGGGAAAAGTCAACATTGGATAACGACCAAAACTCAGGAACAGATTGTTTAGAGAACTGCAGCAGTAGTGTGGAGGAAGAGGGTATTGTGGTACAAAATAACAGCAATATTGCAGAGCCAGATAATATAAACGATGAGAGCAACAGTGAGACATAAAATGAGTGCATAAATGAAGGAATTGGGACGAAAGACGGAGATGGCTCCAATAAAGAGGTAGACAAGACAGACACAGGTATAAATACCTTGAAGAAAGGAAAACCGGATCACATTTGCAAATTCTACGCTAAAGGAATATGCAAATATGGAAAATTAGGAGCAAAATGCAATTTTCTGCATCCTCGAAAATGCAGGAACACGTTGGCGAGGGGTACATGCCGCTTTGGAACAGGGGTGTAGATACTTTCACCCTAAATTATGTCAATTTTCAATTAGGGACAAAAAATGCTGCAATCTTCAGTGTCCGGAATTCCACGTGAGAGGTACAGAGCGTTATAGACGGGAAGATCAATATGACACTACTGGAATTTTTTTAGAGGAAGGCAGAAACAGAGTAGTAAATAAAAGAGAGAGAGGAACAGTCAGATGGAACCACTACAGGATTACAGAGGGGAAGGGAGATACCCACAAGACTGGAATACAAATTATCAACAAGCACACAGGTACTACACCACACAACACCCGTCCTACTACCAAAACTGGACGAATCACTTCCAAAACAACACACCCTGGACCGGGGTAGAGTGGGGGGGGGGGGGAAGAACTACCAAAGCCCACCAAAAGTGACATGCAATGTGGGAAATTATTCATATTTGCAAACATACAAGGCTTGAAACCAAAATCAAGAAATAAAGTCAAGTTCATAAATGGCCTCCTAATAGAATCGAACTCAATATTTGGTGCATTTACAGAAACCCACACAAAAGACCACATGGATAGTGAAATCTGGATTCCGAATTATAATCTATATAGATGTGACGTAGTAATTAGGTCAAGTGGAGGAGTAGGTCAGTATATTAAAGAGGAGCTGGCATGCACAGAGCTTCTGAACTCGTCCAATGAGGTAGTAGAGGTACTTGGAATCAAGGTAGAAAATATGAATCTACTTATTATTTTAATATACAAACCGCCAGATGCAACAGTTGAGGAATTCACTGAACAGATCCACAAAATAGAGAATATCCTTGATAACCTAGCAAACCCAGTACCAGATATCATCTTCCTTGGAGACTTCAATCTACCAGTTTAAAATGTTGAATAGTAAACAATAACATCATAGCAGGAAGTCAACCTGGAAATAACCAACCACAGGTCAGAGAACTATTGAGATTCTGTTACAAATTCTCGCTCAGTAAGCAGATTACAAAACCAACTAGGAACGAAATCACGCTGGACCTGATATTCACGAACAATGAGGAGCTAATCAGAGACATTACTGTCTCAGACACTACGTACTCGGACCACAAGCTCATTGAAGTGCAAACTAACATTAATAACGGTAGTAGGCCCAAGAGAAACAACAAGCGAGAAGGGTTATTCAATAAATTAAATTTTAATAATAAGAGGATAGACTGGGAGAAAATAAACAGGGAACTTACAAACATTCAATGGGAAAATGTTCTAAGAAATAAAAATCCTACACAGGGAATAGAAAAACTGACGTCTGAAGCATATGAAGTCTGTCTGAAACATGTTCCTTTGAGGAAAGCCAGAAAGAGGTCCAATGTAGAAAGAGAACGCAGACGACATTACAAAAGAAGGAAGAAATTAACGGAAATGCTTAAACAGACACGACTCTCCATACAGAGAAGAAATAATTTAAACGGAGAGATTGAAGAAATCGAACAGAGACTGAAGCATTCCTATAAGACTGAACAAAGGCAACTAGAACAGAAAGCAATTCAAGAAATAAAGAAAAACCCAAAATATTTCTTCACATATACTAAATCAAAAGCGAAAACCACTGCCAGTATTGGACCTATTCGTATTAGTGAAGGTTCATACACTGAGGATTACAACGAAATTAACTGAAATCCTAAAAAAACAGTATGAAGACATGTTTAGCACTCCGATACTCAGCATGAAAGTGGAAGATTCGGACAATTTCTGTTTGAATGATACTCAAACACCTGTAAATATAACTGATATCAACACGAGCGTAGCAGATTTTGAAAGAGAAATTGACAATATGCCCATGCACTCAGCCCCGGGTCCAGACTCATGGAATTAAATATTTATAAAGAAATGCAAAGTGCCAGTAGCACAGGCACTCAGTATAGTGTGGAGGAAGAGCTTGGACACAGGGGAGATACCAGATGCGCTTAAAGCAGCAGACATTGCCCCTCTTCACAAGGGTGGTAGCAAAGCATTGACAAAGAAATATAGACCAGTTGCACTAACGTCCCACATAATAAAAGTATTTGAAAGAGTGATCAGGAGTCAGGTCACTAGATTCATGGAAACCAATGACCTCCACAATCCAGGC